AAACGCAGGATGGGGGGTGGAGATCATTGGGGAGGATGCTTGCACGTTTGAACTTCACTTTAACGTTACTACCAAATACGGATCTAAAAATAAAAATATAAATAACGCTCACACTTATAGCTTTAGGGAAACCCTGTGTCGAGGGTGCCATTACATACACATAGACAAGGCCACACAAATATTTCTTCAGGCTCGGGCATCGAACGCGGGACCTCTGCGTGTCAGACCAGCATGGTAATTATTCGGACACGAAGGCAGTTACAAAAATGTCTGATAGTATAAAAAAATTAAAAGTTTCCTTTGATAGACAATACGCCTTCAGTATATTTTTATTGATCCATTTAACTGCCTCCGTGGCCGAACGGTTACCATGAACGGTTACCGACTGCCACGCAGAGGTCCTAGGTTCGATTCCCGGGCCGGGAGAAATATTTGTATGGCCTACATTTATTTCTCTCGTGAGTTTGGGTGTAATTTGTGTTTGTCTATGTATGTGTCCATGGCACCCGCGACACAGGGTTTCCCTAGTGCGGGGCTATGTTGAGTGTGTGCGTTATTATTAAAAAAAAAATTGATCCGTGCGCCTAATGTCTGGCCCGCCTCATCGAAACTAAACTTATTTTTAACCGACTTAAAAAAGGAGGAGGTTCTCAATTGGACTGTATTTTTTTTGTGTATGTTACGCGAATAGTCGTTTGTGAACAGATTTTGATAATACTTTTTTGTTGGAAAGAAAAAGTAGGGTGAACCCCGATTCGCCCATTTTCCGGCAACCGATTTTAGTAAAACTTGGCAAATAGATGTAATTTTTGAGATCGGTTCTTTCTTTATAAAAGAGTTATGTCGCTGACAATTTCTACTCAAACTCTTTTCACAAGTAACCGAGATTGGAATTTCGAAATATCAAAAGTATTTCCGGGTAAACTATCGGGACGTGCAACTGCCAATGCAAGAAATAAAAAAAATGCATGTGTCATCAATGGTATCATAATGTCATAAATAGTGATTTATGAGATGGGAGGGAGAGAGAGAGAGAGAGAGAGAGAGAGAGAGAGAGAGAGAGAGATAAATAAAGATACACACAGACACACACACACACACAGAGAGAGAGTTTCAGTATCATAGTTTTTGTTATATATATAAAATCCAAAAATATTCTGTATTTATTGTAATAAAGATAATATCTTTAAGTATATGTCTCACTATTCCATTCGTTGGTGTGGTAAAGCGAAACGTGTTATTACAAAACAAATAGAATCACATTTCATCGGTAATTAAATATTAAATTATGTACTCAATTTTCGTCCATTATAGCAAAGCTCAAGTTAAACTGGTAATTTTTAAGTGAGACAATTGACCGTCAATTGTTTTCAATTCGGGCTGGCCATCGGAGCTCAGTAACTGCTGACAACTGTTGTTAGCGTAATGATCTGGCAGAATGGTTTTCAACTCCAATCAATGGTTTTCAAACAAATTAAATGACATATTAGCCTCTATTTCTGGTTACATAAAAATTAAATAAAAAAATTAAAATAAAAAAAAAAAATTATACTGGATGCTTTATATTACAAGCTTCTGCGTAGTTTAGGTATCAGTCTCTTACAAACATTATGTAATATCTCTGACTGTGTATGTAATATTTTGATTCTAGTGTAAATATTATGCTTGTGGAGAAAATATATTATTATTATATTACATTACATTAATAAAACTTCCTTTCTCCTACATGGACGTGGTCAACACGTCTGTCTTTCCTCTTGTTTTCGAGATCAATTCCTGCGTATCGAAGTAAATATGTTTGTGTACATAATGAATTCGATGTCTGTATAAATAGTTAAACAAGCAAAGTCTTCCAGCCAAACCTAAATGTAGAAAATCTCGTTAACATTGTAAAATTTTTGTTGTCAGGAAATATTAATTAAAAAACTCTTTCTAGAAAGCAATGGCATTAAACTTGTAAAAGTCGTTCCAAACTTGTATGGAACTCGGCGAGTTATTTGATAGTTCCTACCACGGGAACTATAGTGTTATCTACTTTTTATTTGAACTTTTTCGCGTGAACATCTTGGTCCGAAACTTTCTTCTTACAAAGATTTAATCTGTTGTTTGAAATAGCCTAGAGCTGCTGAGAATGATGATGTATTTATCTCTGTAGGTACCAATATTCGACGCTTTTTCTTTTCTCCAGAAATACTAGCTGATCGTGAAGACCTGTGGGCGCTCGATGCGGAAGTACCGGAATCAATTCCCGGTAGGACTAATTTGGGAAATCAAGTTCAAATAATGTTCTGAAAGTGTCAGAATTGGTTCTGGTCTGGGTGTTCCGGGAAGTGCCCCAGAATTTCGTTGCTCTGGTACTCATAGTCCATGGAATTCCGTAGTTCGAGACCAGGCAATTAGTGTGGTTATTTGGCACCATTTGGCACATTATATTATTACTTATGAACGAATTCTAAGTCCAGGTCGATGCCTTTCCGATTCACCTGATTGTTTTTCTTATTACTGGTTAGATTCATGTCATTCTTCACGTCACATCGTAGGATATTGATTCCATAGAGCGTTTTGTCGAGCAAATCAAAGAAAGCACTAGATTGCGCGAACGGTCACTTATACAATGTACTGATGAAATAAAATCTGCAGTGGACGGTCTTTTGCATGAGTGCATCAGAAAATCCACCAACAGAGAGAGATGGCGAGATATTGTGAAGTGAGCTACATCAACCCTGATAAACATACTTCATAATGACCACGACAAGAGGTCTAAGAAAAAGCAAAAGTAGGTATAGCTTCACGTGAAAGAGTTCTTTCTGGGAAGGACTGTCACCATATCTATTTCGGCCACCAAGCAGTATTATGTTTATTACAGGACACTCTTTCTTGCTGGAAACGTACCTATTCACTCTAAGATCTTAAAGATTTACAGGTACAATCGTTTGGGAATAACGGAACCCGGTAAAGAAATCTTCTCCATAGGTGTTCACACAATGAATAAGGAAGCATAACGGTTCATACGATTTGTGGAAATCGAAAAAAAATATCTACAATAAAAGTGCGAAATCCCCCAGAGCATCTGGTTGGAAGGTAACGGAAAACCCCTTTTCAATCTTATCTTAAGTCCTATTTCTGTCATATTCCTTTTCATTTATTACCGATATTACATGACATTTGTGCTGAGTAGCATTTTGTTAATAGTATAACGTGATTTGATTGAACACAGTGAAAGTATAGTAACGTTGATTGAATATATCACGGAACTATCTTTAAATGTAACGGCTCCCTTGTGTGCGCGCGTGCGCGACTGCACCATTCTTTTTGAACTACATATTTTTATTATATTGTCTTTGTTTCCTTTATAGTCTATTATACGTATTGAAGTTCGATGCTCAGTCGTTTTTTCCTCAAAGAAATAATATACAGTCCTCACAAAGAATGTGTGATCCCTTTCACCAGTTTTGTGAACCAGAGAAGAATTAAAGTGCAGTGGCTATCTAATTTATTATATTTAAAATGGTTATAACCCGAAGCCAATCACGATTGATTACTTAATATCAGAGTTTTTATCGTTCCGTTCACTAGGAACACAGGGTTTCCCTAGTGCGGATCTATGACTTTGTGCGTTATTATTATTGGTTTTTGTTTTTCCCGTAGATGTTATACTCTTATAGAACACACTGTAAAATGTTTTTAATACTTTGTCTACCGAATTATAGAAGGTCTTTGTGGTCGCGAAGTCGCGCGACTTTAGAATACTTACGTCAACAGCACATCAAGGTTGAACCTTTAGACCGTTCTTATCGTAAGTGATATAATAGAATTTAAATTTTATTTATCAAACTTGTCGTACCTACTCTCGAACCTGTACTAAGTGATACGATAAATTATTTATTATCAAGCAAACGATGACTAGGTACTATATAAGTAAACTTCAAGAGGTCCCAGTTCCTTTTAAAACCTTTGTTGACCATTTTGATTATATTACTTTAATGAGTTGCGGATACCAGCCCGTTGCACCAAGTACCAAGTACCAAGTTAATGAGTTATCAGCAAATTTCACGAGTTTTGTCGTTTCCATTTGGCACACAGATCTTGTAACATCGACGTTGGTTGTGAATTACAAAGCAATGGTTACAGACAGGAATTTATCCGTAATGGACCGAAACCAATTTTTATGTGAACAAGACAGGAATATTTCCGCCAAAGAAGTGGTGTACACCACCCGTATCGTAATAGACGCTCACGCGATACATGCAGCCGTAGACGCATACCACACCTAGAGGTGCCGGTGATGATTTTATATCGAAGTTATAACAGGTAAAAGAACTAATATTAATTGATATTTCGGTAACTACTCTAGCAAACCATAAAGTTTCTAATGCCTGGGTCTGTCATTTAAAAAAAGTAAACAACTTCAAAAATACGCCACGACAATCGTGTGTGTTATTGTTTGGGCTGGTGATTTCGGTGTTTATTTATTGAAATCATACCGTAAGTAGCGTTTTTTAAGTTTACCCTGAATATAAATGTTTATAAACTATACTTTAAGGAGTAATTTCATGGTAAACGTTAGAACAGTTACGTTAGAAAATTTCATTAGTGCCTTTTAAGTGCAGGATTTGCGGTGTATTACTGCATTTTATTTGAGATGTTTTTGTTGGTAGTACGGAGGGTATTTATTTAGCAATGCAGAATAATAATATTTATATATAAAAACTTGTATTTGAACTGAATGCTTTTCTAATTTGCGAAACCAAATAGCCGCCATTTTGCGGTAGGAGGAGCGCATCGCGCGAGCGGATAATACAAATTATATAAAACAATAATAATACACGCTCTATACCTTTTCAAAGATGGTCTAAAGCCGCCCGTCGGCGCCGACTTTATCAAAATGTCCACGGATAAAACGAGTACCACTTCTCGATAAGAATTTAGATAAAAATGAAACAACAGGTAATTTCCAAAATATATTTACTTTTCTATATAAATATTTGAATAGTATGTATCGTCGTTTTTAGTCACAGCACTTACTTATATGGTTCTTCGAGCACCTGCCCATGCTCAATTCCATAAAATATTTTATTGTCCTTTACATAAGCCCATGACATTCTATTTGAACTAAAATGAATTCCAACCTCTCCTTTATTGGAAAGAGTTATTACACCAGCAGTATTATTCAGACGTGCAGTCATTGCTAAAAATTATATTAATATTTATTATTATATTCGTAATAAATAGTAGTATACGTAGATATTATTTTTATATAAATATTTATACCATTGACAGCATTCATTGTTGCTGTATTTGCATTTGCACCATCTTCCATGAGCTTGATAATACTATGAGCCAAACAGAATTTGAGAATTGACTCGCCGTGCCCTAAAAATATGAAAATAGAAAACATAAATTACTTAAATGTTATATTTATAGGCTATTGTTCGCACATTTGAGTAACTTTATACCTGTAATCGAAACTCCTCCAATTTTATCGTCTGCGTAGCTTCCGCTACCAATCTGTGGCGTGTCACCAATGCGACCAACTGCTTTACCATTTATACCACCTGTACTTGTGGCTACAGCAACGCTGCCTTGTGCATCTATAGCAACTGCTCCTACTGTGCCCACTCCACCCTTTCAAAGTTAAATAATTTTTAGCTGTTATTTTATTGTAATTGCCTATCATCTTATCAAAAATACGCTTACTTCATCCTCAGCTCTTCCCAATTCTCCATGCACCAAGAACTTTCTCAGTGCTTCTCTGGCATTTCCGCTAATCAGCGACTCCGGGGGCACCGTTGTAAAGCCCTATAATAAAAATTTGTGAGTCCTACTTCGAGTAATTAAAACGACAAATGGATTAAAATAGTTAATGTAATAACTACAAATATAAGTACCTTTTCTAAAGCAAATAACTTGGCACCCTCACCACCTAAGAACGCATGAGGAGACTCCGTCAATACTTTGTGCGCAATGCTAATAGGATGTGGAAAGTCTTTTATTAATGTGACAGCACCAACATCAAGATTTGTCCCACTCATCATGCTAGCTTCCATTTCTACTTCACCGCGCAAATTTAAAACTGATCCATATCCTAGAACCACAACAGAAAAGAACAATTGATTAGTACAACCATTTCAAAGGAATTATTTATAGGTAATATTTATTATATTTTACTTAATAGTAAATTATTCATGATTTACCAGCGTTAAAATTGTCGTCTTTTTCCATAGACACCACTGCTGCCTCAACTGCATCAAGAGCACTACCGCCTCTATTTAAGACCTCTTGACCTGCGATTACTGCAAGCTTTACTCCGTCCAGTTTACCTTGCACTTTACTGTTAGCAATATCTCCAGCACCGCCGTGCACTATTATTATGGGTTGAATTTTCTACAAATAGAAGTATATGCGTAATCAGTTGCAATATGTTACTGTTTGACAAATAGGGACCGAAAAGGTGACAGCGGCAATTCATGGATACCGTTACCGACATTATTTTAAGAAATATACTGCACTAAATTTAAACCGAACCACTTGAAATGTATGCAATATTTCAATCTAACCGTAATACCCGTAAATTTGATGCGTTACGTAACGCATTTATTTCTTCACGACGGCTATAACTAAAAGCGGATAATTTAGGATACCACCTCTATTTATCTGTGTATATCTATCCGAAATACCGTTATGAACATGTTTGGACTATTGGTTAGCTGACATGAATTCGATGCTTAAAAGCACGTCTTAAATTTAAATGTGTAGGTATTATTTAACCAACCTGTTTGTCATCACGGTCGCCTTGTGATCCTTCAACCCGTCTTTCTTGTGTTGGATACTCCAATGCTTCACAATATGCGGTCGTCACACATAACTGACAAAACAGATAGCATTAATTAGATACATTTATATCATATAGAACGAAATAAAGACACAGTTAAAGAGCTATGAACACTTACTGGTACTAACAGTACTGATGTTAATAAAACAATTGAAGACTTCATTCTTATGGAAAGAAGAAACAGGTTTAACGCGAGTACGCGTGTGATTACTAACGCTACTCATCCGAGTGTGTGATATTTTGCCGCACCTTACCCACTGGTTTTATATTGACAATGACCAAGATAAATAGATATTATCTTAAGAAGTGTACCGTATATCTTACCGCTTTATTAAACGTTACACAACAATGCATTCTAACTAAAATACGTGTTAATATTTTGATGCATTACGTAGGTAACGTATTGGTTTCTCGATGAAGATGACTCAAAGGGCAACAATCTAACGGGATTTCATTGGATTTTACATTAGGCTAGATTTTTTTTATAGTGAATAACAAATTACCGATTTTGAACTGTTAAATGATATTTTTATTTTTATTAAAAAACAGGCAAGGTACAATAAGAGCTTAAATACTAGAAAGTGTTATGAATTTAATAAATATTAGTCATTGTAAATAACATGATAAATAATTATTAATTTCTCACAATAGTAGAGTTACTAATTAGAAATGTATTATGTAAAATAATTATACGACGCCACATAGTTTCAAGATACTAATAGTAGTAAATTAATATTTCCTCTTAAACTTTATATTCTTGTTTAGAGCTGGCAGCTTGATGATAGTTTGATGCTGTGCTCGATTTATTATTAATTCTAAATAGATTTTCAATACGTAGTCTCTCATCTATGTACTAAGATTTTGAATTCTAGTATCTAATTAAGTTTTGGAGAGGAGTAAGTATAAATACGAGTTGGCTGGCGTCTTTGTAACATTACATTATTGTATCAACTACTAGTAGGGTGTGACTCTGCCCGAATAAATACCGAATTAACGACATTATTATTTTAATTCCTCTTGTCCGCCATCCTGTACAGCTTTCGTTACAAAAATAAAACTAGGATTTTTAAATGAAAGGTGCCCGAGATGCTGGCAGCGTTACCCTTACTCCCTGTTATGGCAATCGGCCTGACGCCACCATCTTTTTTGGTTAGGGCTATTAAATGTGCAGCATAAAGGATGGGGACTATCTCCGCGTGCACATTGCCCAGCAGCATGAGATTTATCATCTTAGCGGTGTTTTCCCTCAGCTTTTTGCTGACTTCGCCGAGCGATGGCGAAGTAATACTTCACGCTTTTTTTACCGGTGTGGCCACTTTCTAGCTTGTGTGCAATTAAAACTTTAGCGTAAAGTTTTTCACCCGCGTCTGCCGCGGGACGACGGCATCTGTAGAATGTAATAGTATGTAAAATTAGTACCACATTTCACGGCGCGTTTTACGCCTGTAGTGGTGACGGTTGCTCGCGGTTGCCGCGGCGGGGTATTAGTAGAACCGCGCAACACGCGATCACCTGCGCGCTTGGCGACCGTCGTCGTCCGCGCATTTTGGCGGTCGGTTCAGGCGCAATGTGGTGCAGGCGCACGCGTGGTGAGTTCTCTATTAACCGCGTGACTTGCGGTTAACTCCCACTAACTTCGCGGTCCGTCCCGCAATCGCAACGGTTTCGTGCCCGCAACCGCGGCGGCTACGTGCTCGCACAAACTTGCAGGGTTGTGAATATTGAAATAAAACCGCTGTCTAGCAGAACCGGCGGGCGCGGATGGAAACCGCTCCGTGAACTGTTTAATATTAAAAAATATTCAATTTTTCGTACTGTACCTGCACTGATACTGGTGTATTATTAATAATAAATAATAATAGCGTAATAAAATGTTTATTTCAGTAATATAATTAACTTTACATTAACAGTAGATGGTACCTGCTATTAATAAATAAATAATAATAAATAACGCACACACTCAACATAGCCCCGCACTAGGGAAACCCTGTGTCGCGGGTGCCATGGACACACACATAGACAACCACAAATTACACCCAAACTCACGAGAGAAATAATTGTAAGCCATACAAACATTTCTCCCGACCCGGAAATCGAATCTGGGACCTCTGCGTGGCAGTCCGGCACGTTAACCGTTCGGCCACGGAGGCAGTTAATTGAGCTATTGAGCTTATCAAGCCTGACAGGAGTCAGGAGGCACCGCTCTTCCATAGCTATAAATGCATATTTGTGTGTGTGTGTGTGCGTGCGTGCGTGCGTGCGTGCGTGCGTGCGTGCGTGCGTGCGTGCGTGCGT